GCCGACAAATTCGACCTTCGGAGGACCCGGCCTGTCGTTTTGGACACAGCCATCATCGGCTCTGGAGGGCCGATAGATGAACCCAGTTGGTCAAATGAGGTGTCAATCAAAAGTGGATGGCCTAGACGTCCATTTTGAAGCATTGAGGATGGAGATAAGTTGCTGAGAAATGAAGCATGATGGTTTAAATTAAAACAAAACTTAAAACGGAACATGGGCATTCCAGWGCTTGTTAACTGGATCAACTCTGTGCTGCAAAGTGAGATAGTGACAGAGCCAAGTGATAACATCTGGTCTGGTTCCTCTCAATGTAGAGGAGCAGTAGCTCTCCTTTGAGCCTCTCCTAGATAACTGGATTTCTTACCATATCTCAAACAGAGTCTCCAGCTACCCTGCAGAGAAAACTCAATTTGACTGACTGGTAAACAGAGATTCTCACCTTACAGCTCAGCTCCCTCTTCAAAATGAACCAACGCAGAGTCCACAATACTGTGGAAACTGCACCAATACATCTGTCTGCTTCATTCTTCCCAAACTTATTAACACAGCAYACACATACCTCTACTATACTTCTCGACTACTACTCATCAACTCATTTACTTATGGAGGAAAATAGCTTCATTGGAATCTGAATATTTTTAGACACTGAATTTATGACATTGAATTTTTATCCTCTGAAACTATGTATGTGAATTTTTTTTTACTTCAAATTTGCTGGCAAAATTTCACCTGCAACATTTCAACTGAAGACATTCGCCAGAAAAAAAATCAACTACAGTAATTCACCTTTAAAAATTCACCTGAAAAAATATTCAACTACAGAAATTCAGCTGTAAAAATATGTTGACCTCCTGGTGGAGGCCAACATATTTTTACACCCAGGCCAAAGTGATCAATACTAGATCAAGTCGAGCAGCTTTTAGCCAATCAAGTTACGCTCATTTGATCACGTGACACACCAGCCCGAGGTCAGAGGTGACTTTTTTTTTAGCTTTAACAGTTAGCTGGTTAGTGGCTTAATGAAGATAAGCGAGGGGCATTTTCTGCTAAACAAAGATTATCATATTCGCTATAGGTACCGACTGACAGCCAGTTCTATAATGCTTTTCTGATGGGTATACTATTCTGTCGGAACACCGGGTCTGCCTCTTCTGTCTGTGCAGAGAACTGGTGGTGCGCAAACAACCAGCTGCGATCCGGTTAGATGATGGAAAAAAGAAGTAAAAAAAAAAACACCCCGAAACTCAACTGGCTGTCAGTCGGCACCTATAGCGTTTATGCCCCTCGCTTATTATTACCCTGGATTTACATTACTTGCATTCCGTCTCCACTCCGCAGGTCACAGCTGTGAGTTTCAAGTCCAGTTTACATTATCTCCGCTCCGCCCCGACAGACGTGCAGGAAGCAGATCACGTGATAAATTCAGTGATAAGTGTGGAAGTCACAGCAAAAAATAATTAATTCTGTGAAAGACGAACTCCAAATACCGCTGAAAACAATGAAATAAAGCCTTTTGGTATCCATGTTGAAACTGTCTCCTGTCAGCTTTCTGAAACTTCTGATTTCAAAATAAAATCCACGTGTATCGTGTGTGTAGCACATATGCTTCATGCTACATGTTTCCATCTGCTTCCAAACAGAACGATACATTCTGACAGCATTTGTGTAGAAATATATCTGTATATTTATTAATATAACCGCAATTTCTACATTATTCCGACAAATTATTCCACCGAATCATGTCTTATTTTGAAAATACGGATGTTGTGCTCATTTCTTTTCCTGTTTGTGCAACATAATCTTTAAAAATTGACTCCGGCGCTGCTCGTCGTCCGGCAAAAATAGGATCTGTTCTAATTTTGAATTTCTGCAGCTGAATTTCAGTAGTTGAATATTTTCAGGTGAATTTTTAAAGGTGAATTTCTGTAGTTTAATTTTTTTCTGGCGAATTTCTTCA